AATCTCTTTAGATGTTTTCTCTGCTTGATGCAAGCTCAGGAGCAGACCTTTCTCAAACAGAATAACATCTTTTCCACGACCACGGGATGTTTCTTTTAACCTGATTGTTTAGGAAATGAGAAGCAAGTCATTGCACCAGTTGGGGTTAAATAATCGCCCATGCAGAAATTATCCAATAGGAGCCTCGTACCTATTTGCTTAGTTGAATCCAGGTGGCGACTTTTTTTTTGGCCAGGCAGTGTATATTTTTAAAGGAACCTGTTGTTAAAATTTTAACAATATATCTCTATATATCTCTTTTGAGACACAATAAACGGCATAATTAAAACATTACTCCATTTCCTAAATTTTTTTTCTTCAATCTTGATCGTTATGGCTACAAAAAAGGGCTATTGTATTATGGGCCAACCTCCGGTGCTGTGATTGCTCTAGAGCAGAGGTCACGGATTAGCGGACCGCAGTCAGGATCCGCACCCAACCTGAATAAAACATTTATAAATTATTGGGTGTTGTCAGACGGCAGTGTCTAACTTCACTTGTGCCGCTTCTCCTGTTAATATGGTAAAGCCGTCTGGACAATCCGGCACCAGGCTACATGTGATAGAAATTATCCAATGAGCTGCTGTCAGTCTGGGTTGCTGCTACTGCTACTTTTAGACACAGCAGGCAAACCAGTGGCAAGCCAGGCGATGGGAAAGAAGGAGAAGACGTTAAAAAAAAAAGCTGAGAAAGTGTGGACTGCTGGAAGAACTGTGGTGAACTGGTGTAAGAAAAGGGAAATGGCGTGCTCAAAGATGACCCTGAACATTTAGAGGATGTTTGGCTCAACCTGCTGCTGTGAAGCAAAAATGACCACCTTGATGTGTGCTTTAGAATGGCTTTGTTGCCAATAAAACCCAGGTTTAAAGCCTTGCAGGGCAGCCTAAAGCCGACTTCTCCCATTAAGCCATAAAAATAAAGAAAATAAAAAAATAAAAAAACTCTCAATTCAGGTGTTTTATAAAATATGTGAATCAGGAAATTGTCTATATACCAAACTAAATGATTGTTGTTCTCTACTTAAAAAAACACTTTAGATTTTAAAATGGAAAAATGTTAAAAAAAAATGTTTTAATAGTTTTTAATAGTCGATGTATAACATGAATGCATAAAAACCTCATTTTATTTCAGTGTTACATTCTGTTTAAAGGAACGGATTATCAAAAATATCTCCGTACCTTTATTGGTTGATGATTTTCTTTATTCGGACCCTGCTGATTTTTAATTGCTTACCCCTGCTCTAGACGAAAAAAATGCTGACGTCATCTCTATCTATTAATGTGTTTTGAAATAATCTGTTGTTAATCCAATATCTACAACTTTCTTCACTATAGATCATTTCTGTCCTATTCTTAGGTTTATTTATTCGTCTCTCTGGGCTCCATATGTAAGCGCGTGCTATTGAAACACCCTTGCAGTCAGAACACATGAGTCAGTAATTTCAGAATAGAAAGTTTGCCAATCCTATTATCCAGTAACACATTACAGATGTCTAACCCTGCAGTAGCACACCTTGAAAAGAAATGGGATCTAAGTAATATGAGCGATGTTATGAGCACTAGTTTTTGCTTGATTCTAAAACAATATTGGGCTAAATGTTACTTTTCAAATTTTAAAACGGTTTGTTTGTATTCTTCCAAGTAGTGAAAACAATGTAAATCACAGCTCTTCATTGATTTCAAGCTTTAATGCAAAGACCACAAACAATGAACTGGACAATCAAAAGCTGAGGTGTTTTGTCATGTTTTTTTCTTGTAGCACCAGTTTGGAGCAGGAAATGCTATACATCTGTTTTACTATTTCTTAGAGTCAGATGAATATTCTCAGAAGCACTCGGAGACAGTAAACCCAGTCAGGGGGCAGCTGGTGGTATGTCATTTCATTTCCATCCAGCCGTAGGATTTTCATTCTGGAGTAGGACAGAGGCCCCACCTCTCTGCAGAAACTGGTCACGTTGAACTCTGTGGAGAACAGACGGCATTATTGAGATGAATATTTATATTTTGAGAGTTATTATCCCCCAAGGCGACAGCCTGTGATCTGTCAGCGTATGGTTGATATTCCACAGAGCATCAGTTTTACTCTGCAGCGTTTCTTTTTGCTAATGTGACTTCCTAAGATGGAGTGACTCAGACACATTATGCAATTTGTCTGTACAAAATACCTTCTTCAGTCTGATCCTTCCGTCACAGAGTCTGCATTTACCATTAGAGGTCTCACAGGTGCAGAGGTAAAAAACAGCGGCAATGGAAACTACTCAACACAATGTTTTTTTACTCACTACAGATCTCCTACCAGCCCACACTGTCTGCTACAGTTAGTAACAACTGCGGTAGCTTTTAGGTTATTAGGCAGTGGGGTTACATTTTCTGTTTTCTCTGCTGAGACTGTCTGTCTCCTTAGCAGAGATGGCAAAAGTACTCACTTTCCGTACTTGAGTAAAAGTACAGATACTTGTGTTAAAAAATACTCTGGTAAAAGTGGAAGTACTGATTAAACTTCTTTACTCAAGTAAAAGTAACAAAGTACAGGCTTGTAAATTTACTTAAAGTATAAAAGTAAAAGTAGAAACCACTTTTTTCATGCCGTTGCCTACATTTTAAATGGATGTCTGCCAATAGGACTAGATCTCCGTTGTGTTCATTTTCAATCATCTCGTCGTCCATTCTACTATGCTAACGCCACCGCCACCAAGCTGCAATGATTTGCCGCAAATGAATACCGCTGAATCTGTCGATTCATCTTGTAGTGGTGCGTCAAATGCAACGTAGATTCCCATCCAATTAGATTGAATTTGGTATTGATGACGTGAAAAATAATAACGGTAACTCCATTGAAATTATTTAAAACTAAAGTAACGAGCCAATTTTTTAAAATGTAAGGAGTAGAAAGTACAGATATTTGTGTAAAAATGTAAGGAGTAGAAGTAAAAAGTCGCCATAAAAATAAGTAGTAAAGTAAAGTAAAAATATCAGAAAAATCTACTTGAGTACAGTAACGAAGTATTTGTACCTCGTTACTTCCCATCTCTGCTCCTTAGAATAAAGTCTTACAGTTTTTTACTAGATTAGATTAAAAAACAAGAGCTTTGAGGTTGTGTCTTTCTGATGGACTGGTGATCTGTCCTGAATTCATTACATACAGGTACATGAAAAACAAACAGATTATTGTTTAAAAAATGTCTTATTTGATTTAAGAAACTGAAACACATATATAGATTAATTACCCATGAAATGAAATAGTAGTAATTGAACTGTATTGATCTCACACTGCAGAAATTCACTTCTACATTTAAATGATCCCCTTGGGGAGCAGTGGCTGCCCGGGGAGGGCGCCGCACAATGGCACGCTGGATGTTAAGGGTCTTGCTCCGAGACCCAGAGGACAGGCTGTGGGAATCGAACCGGGTACTTGCAGCCTTCTCAGAGCACAAGCGCACTGCTGACCCTCCATCTCATATATATTCACTCCCCCCAAATATATTAGGCCTTTATTATTGCAATTTGATGATAATGAATTAAGGGTAATGAAAGTTAGAGAAATCAAAAATTCAATGAAACCTTACAAAATGATAAATGTTGCAACTATATAAAATAGAGAGAGCAAAGTACAAACAAAACAACAAACAAATACATCAATTATGCTAACTGTGGGGGAAAATGTGGTCAAGATATTTTATATTTTTTAAATCGTTCTAAGAACAGGCATCCTCTATATGGTATTCACTAAGGGCTTTGATATTTAACGTAAGGATGTTATCTGCTACGTAGATAAAGGAGCAGACCAGATGTCCTCTAGATGCTGATCCACTGAGGGTTGTAAACTTGTAAACCGGGCGATCCTTGGAACAGACAGCTCTGTTTGACCAAGGAAGTAGGTGTTTGCTTTGGAGTGTGTGGTCAGGAACATGAAGGCTGAGAGGAGAGTGAATAAAAGGGATACATTCTTTGTATTAGTTCAAACTTTGGCTCCATCTGGGGAGATGCTGTACAGACCGTTCTCTATCTGTTGAACTCTTTGCTATGTGTCTCTATGTTTCCTTTTGACAATTCTCTATAGACTATCTCCTGGGTTCAGGTCAGCCAAATTTGCTCATCCATAAAGCACAGTAACTCCATGTTTAATGAGAAAGCTTCTGGTACCTACAGTAGTAGACATTCAAAATTTCCCCACTTTCCTTGATGGGCCCTTGGCTGGTCCTTTGAAAGTCCCCTACAATTCCTTTTTAAACATGTAAAATATAATTTTTGTCATTATTTGTGGAAATTAGGATCTAAAGAGAAGTGTTATCTTCTGGTCAGACCCTGTAATTCAGTAAAAGGATGGCCATATTGAATGCATGCTACTGTATAGCAGTGTGGGCCAGTAGCAGATCCTGCTGGAAAATGAAATTAGCATCTTCGTAAAGGTTGACAGTCGAAGGAAGCCAGAAGTGGTCCAAGTCTGGTAGACTTTTGGCTGAAAACACAGTGGACTGGCATCAACAGATGACACAGCATCTAAAATCACCACTGTGGAAAATTCACATTTGACTCCAAGCACTGTGGATTCTGTGCCTCATCATCTCTTCCTCCAGATTTGGGTCACTTATGTCTAAATGAAAACGGGGCCGCCTTTTACAGTCGCCTTTTGTATCTCTGCTTCTGTCTCTTTGAACCCCAGTCGGCCTCAGCAGATGGCCGCTCACTCTGAGCCTGGTTCTGCTGGAGGTTTCTTCCTGTTAAAAGGGAGGTTTTCCTCTCCACTGTCGCTACAAGCATGCTTAGTGTGAGGCATTGCCTTTGAGTCGATGAGTCGATGCAATCAACTGGTTTTCCTTAGATAGAAACTTTGAATCAATCTGACTGGATTATCTGGTGAACTGTAAAGTGCCTTAAGATGACGTGTTGTGAATTAATGCTATAGAAATAAACTGAATTGAATTGAAGTACAAACATTACACTTTTTCCTTCCACTTAACTTTCAGTAAGGTTTAGATACAGCATCTGTGAGCAACCTTCTTTAGAAATCATTGTTAGTAAAAAATGTTTCACTGATTGTTTCTTAGATACCTGTCCAGTCAGCAGTCATCACATATTTTATAGCCTGCTGACCCAAACTTAGAGATCACAGAGGTTCAGGCATGCTGTGCTGGTGTTTGTTAAGTGATATTTACATGTTTTTATTATCTGTAAGACATTGTCATCAAATTATAAAAAGGCTCCATTATATCTATCGTAAATCTATGACAAATTAAATTAATGATATTCTGTTTTTTTTTTAGAGATAAATGTATGAGGTCAGAATTCTGCCAGTAGTGCATATACTGTAATACTGCAACCAACTCCTAGACACTGGAAAAAAAAAACGATATAGAAATAGGTAAACATTTCTTAGATTAAGTGAATTTAACCTTAATTTGAGTAGGTAAATGAGGTGGTTTACAATATAATGAGTATTTTTACTCTTAAAATAACATAATTAGATAATATGCACTTGAAATAAGACAATGCAATTGAGTTTTCTTATTTAAAGTGCAAATTGTCTTGTTCCATTGGCAAAATGTCTCTTTTACCTCCTCAATCCAACAACAAATACACTCATTTTCATAAAAATGACTTAGCTAGATTTAGATTTTTTCCAGTGTAATATACCTTCATTTTAGTTGACTATATTTTTAAAAAGGTAACTTTTGAGGGATTTTATTCAGAGTAATCACACCAAAGGGAGGTGACTATATCTACACACTTACCACTACCCTTCTTAAAATCGAATTAGGTTTTGTTTTGTTTACAGTAATCTCCTACTTTGTGTTGTCTGCATGCAATCCTAACGCAACAACAATGTGTAAAAATTCAACTGAAGCTGATATTTCTGCAGGGCACTGTAGCTCTTATTTTGAGGCTCTGTGTGACTGCTGGAAAGTCCTGCAGCGTCATTTTATCAAGAGTGATTAAGAGCAGACGGACATAAAAAAAACAACAAATGTGAGACTAAAGAGGGGAGCAGTTACAGCCTCTACTCCATCTGGTGCTCCCACCCCTCAATATGTCCCAGATGTTCTCACACTCCTGCTCCTAACCTACTTTCTCCTACATTCAACCAACATATATCTACACAGTTGTCTCCTGTTCTCCACCCTCTTCTTACGTCTTTTCTCCTCTAATGCGGCTCGCCCTCTCCCTGTGCTGCCCAAACTACTCCTATGTCCATATAAAACAATGAGACCTTCATATGTTTTAATAAAGCTCAGATTTAGAATGATCTCTTTTGGTCAAAACTTTAATCAAAGCCTTTAATAAAGAATGTGTGTGAAAGTTTCTACACTCATAACTTTTGAAAGTCGTTGGGAAGCGGAATTTCCAAATTCTCCCGAATGGTGCACGACTTTACACAAGTGAATAAAGTGAATGTGATTGGCCATCTTGGTTTATCAAGAAGGCGGGATGATTTTGGCGGAAGGCTTGCAAGCTTTTTGACTGTGGCCAGTATGTTGGAAGCATCTTGCTAACCAGTTAGCAACTTAGTGCTAGTAGGT